CAGCATTCTTGTGAAATAATATCGTAGCGTTTTTTAGCATATAAATTCGATCATTACAAGTACTACCCCGAACATCGCGGATGCCATCTGAAGGTGCTTTTCTGCCTTGTAGGAGGGAGGGACTTCGAGGTGGGTGAGCCAACTACAGTGTGGCAAAAGTTTGAATGTGTGTGATCACATGAGCCGCTGATAAGGTGAGAGAGCGCAGACGAGAGATGGATCTGAGGCGGCTTAAAGGACCGGGTTCAAGTAGTCCGTCAACCGGGGGTATGATGTCAGAGTCTGATAGATGTGGACGAGCCTGCATTCATATCTCTCAGGTTGACAATGGACGTCACTTGATACTGTGGCGATCTGATAGGTTACAAATGTTAGTAGAAAATTTGTGATATTGATTGCTGAAGAATTCCGCGTTTCTCTTGCTGGACATTGATAACTCGTGGTCTCGTCAGTGTCCCTTTTCCCCTGTTCTAATTCTCTTTCCACTCACAAGAAAAGCTCAATTGGTCAGTCCAGCGGTCCAAAATGAGATGTATAGATCCCTCGAGACGCTGGGTTCAATTCTACATTCGTTACCTGCCGGACGGTTTCCTTAAAGAATTTATGAAGCGGGAAGAACAGCGGTAGTGACCTTGAGTCACATACAAGAGGTCCTGGGACCGACTCCGAGCCGAGCTCTTTCCAGTGCTATGTTACAAAACTTTATAGCTACTTTATAGCTTTTTGAGAAGAACAAAAGCACGAAGCCGCATTGGAGTTCTTGCCTATGAGTCAGAGTCACTACCGTTGCTCTTCCTTAGTTCCTAAATCCTTGAAGGGAATTGTCCGACGGGTAACGAAAGCATTTGAACGAATCGTCTCAAGGCCAGTGTGTAGGTATACTTACGATTTTTGATGGCCGTACTGAGCAGCTGACCTTTCCTTGAAAGCTGTTATTCTGAATGCTAATATTTCCTTTTAGGATTGCAATCATTCTATGCGATGATTGTTGAGAACGTTGTTGGAGAACAGATTGTGAAGCCTACGGATACTTTGTGTAGGTTTTTTTCTTTGTTTACTTTCTACAATTCCTAGATTTACAAGTCGTTCTTCTTGGGGGGGCCAATAAAAAAAAGACATTTTGTCTCCGCGCTCAGATGGATTTAATCACACTTTGCTCAATTCAAACCGAATGAGCCCAGCTTGGTATTGAAGAGCACATTTCATTCTATAAGAAAAACTTCTTAGTGGCCACCTACGTGGGTGGCACCAGAAAAATTTGCCTCGTAAACATGGTGCGCTGACAGCTCATGCGGCGTCTTCGAAAGAGTCGTGTACCATAACGACCTCTATTGGAAAGCGAGTTACGAGGGGGTTTGCGTAGTGTTGGACTGCTGGTCCTAGAAAAACTATCCAACATTAATCGATTCACGAAATTGCGTAAGAGCTTCAGGCTGAAGCAGTTACGGTAGACCTCCTTGAGCCTTGACGACGGTGACAGATGACGTCATATTCTGAAGACGGTGAGGGCAGTGAAGGAGGGCCTGCGTTACTTATAGAGGGACACTTAGGGAATACTCTGCTGAGGAACTCCCGTCAACGACGGCAATCTCTGCGAAGAAAAAATGGTTGAAGTGCGACATAGGCAAAATGTCTTTTTTTGGCCCCGTAGCACGAAAGTCGTTCTTCTTCTTTATGGACCCCCTTTTCTCTTTAAGTTGCTTTCTGAATCCTAATCATTTCTGATTCTAGTACCTTACCATGCCCGACCAGAGTGGGCACAGAGAGTTAAAAAGGAAAGCGCTCAACTCATAAAACATTTCCACTTGGACCAACTGGAGCAGATATCGCATAGCTCAGGTCGGAAGAGAGCAGGTGGTGAGTCGCTGAGTTTTTCTTTTACATCAAAAGTTCAAGGCTTCACTGATATCGCTTGCAAATTTGGACGTTTTAGTCCCACTTTCGATAATAAAACAGTTTACCCTTTGGTGAAAGTGGGCCAAAGGAGAATGCCGCCGTCATCTTACGCAAAACACAAAGATCATAGCCGCTGTCGAATTTTGACAGATAACCAGGCCTATTATACTTTTGTGGATGGTTAAACCGCACCAAACTGGTTTATGAGGATAAAACGCTGACTCGCGCTTCAGCAGGTATTTGTATGCATGAGCAAAACACGCATTCAGAACCCTCTACGATTCTCCATAAAAGGCGAATTCATGGCTTATCCAAAAAGAAATCGCGAATTCATGGCTCATCATGCGATCAGCTTTTCCTTTTTCTATTTTATTTTGATCAAGACTCGCAAGAATCTTCCCCATCCTTTCATTTACAGATGGCACATCGCAAGGCGGACGAGCGAAGGTGACGAAGCCTGATGCATCCCAAGTTGATGCTCGTGAATTGGCTGAAAAAGGGGAGGTGAGTTTTACTCAGTTTCATGTATTGAAGTCATCGAATGCTTGCTTGATTGATTATCTTTGATAGCTCTACCGCTTTTGGTTGGACGATTTGTTTTGATTGGTTTTGATGAGGCGCTATATTATACGAGACACCCTTTTTTGATGCATCAGCTGTACAAAATGATGACCCCATAAGAGGAAACTAGCACAGAAGGCATGTAGCGTTCACAGGGAAGGAGATATCCCAGCAGCTGTCGGGGGACAGATTTGGTTAAAATAAAAACAGGTCACATAAAGGACTCCAAACGAATACGGAAGACCCAACATCAGCTGAGGCAAACTTCGCGTAGAACCTATTCTACACCACCCGGCTATGGTGCCCTTGAGTACCATGGACGGAATTTCGTAATAGGATTACAATATTGCTTAGTTCATTTTTTTTTACTAAATTTTGGTTTTTTTCAGCTGGACAGCCTTACAGTAGCTCAATTGCGCGCAGT